GGCAGCGCCGCCCCCGCGGCGGGGCCGCCCCGCGACCCTCCTGCGCGGGGAAGCGGGGCAGGGAGGCAGGGAAGGGCGGCGGTGGTCCCGGTTGGGAGCCGCCAGAGCGCTGCGCGGGGTGGGGGGACACGGGCACATCTGCGGTGCTCCCCCGCTCTGCGCCCAAGGGGTCACGTCAGCCCGAGGGGCTCCCAGTTGCGCGCGGGGCGTGTGGAGCCCCTCAGCACTGGCCGTGCGTTCCCAGGTTGCGAGCGGGTGGAAGCGGGAAGGTCCACTTTCCCTTGGGCTGTTCCTCTTGAGCCTCCTGTTACTGCCTTTGTAAATAAGCTCGCTGTCCCCAGACTCCACGGAGCCACGAGGTCAGGAAAGACCTACTTTAGGGTTTATAAAGGTGATTTGTATTGTGCTGTTAAGTCACCAACACAACCACCCTTGGYTGGATATTTTCCGGTGCAGCTCCATACAGCAGTGATTCCCTCTGGACAGCACTGCACCTCCTAAGCACAGCTTTGCCGGGTCCATCTAAGACTTGGATAAGCCTAAGCGTGTTTCTAGCTATCCAACCCATACCAGCAGTAAAAACKCCCCAAGTTCATCATCTTCCTCACCGACATCTGCCTCCCTTCAGGAATATACTGTTAGCCCGAGCAGTTGATGTGCTGCAGAGAACAGACCTCGCACCTCTCGTAGCTGCACTGCTCTACAGGAGTCCCGAGCGGGTGGGATTATTGGGGTGTCTGAAGAGCTTTCGGCACAAAAGCAAGGAAGGCAAATTTTGCCCTAGGTATAGCCAAGGCTTGCTGAATAAGGATCTCATTTTCAGCCACCATGTGGGACAGAAAAAGACTTGAGTTCATTTGGTTTATCTAACTTCCTCTTTTGAGTAAAATCTGCCAACACTGAAGACTTTTGCCCTGTTTTTTTACAAAAAAAAAAAAAAAAAAAAAAAAGCACATCTTTTCATTTCCCAGGGTATTTCAGGCTTAGGCACTTGCTAGACTCCTCTGTCCTGTAGTGACAGCTTGCTCATGAAGTGGCATGGGGCAGTGGGAAGAGACGTCTGTGTATTTGGGAGCCTTGTTCGGAGCTTGCAGCTCCACACGGTGCCGYACAGCGATGCAGGGAACCGCTCGCTAAAGAAGAACCAGCAGCAGTCAAAGGTTGCTGGTCATTCCTGATGGTTGCAGCTGCTCTGCAGCTGCAGTCTGGATGATGGATCTCTTCCTGTCAGTGGTTTCTCTCACTCTGCGGCCAGAGCCACAAAAATATTGGATGAAGGGATCCCTGGAGGTTTCCTCTAGTCCAGCCCTTGGCTCACATCAAGACTTGTGAACACTTAATCAAGTCAACCATGGCTTTGTCTACACGCTCACAAGACGCAACATTTTCAGATCTGTTTCTCCACTGCTTTCCTTGGGATGCCACTTTTGTTGCCTTGAGGATCTGGCTTGTTTCAATCAAGCCTAATACCGAATTTCAGAAAGTACATAAAATATTTTATGGACTTGAGCCAACAAGAGAGTGAATGAGAAGTGTATGCGGGAAGAGCTGGATGCTGATTAATTATTATTGCCTTCCCAGCAGAATGCAAGAAGCAGATTCCAATACTCTGTGTGCAAAGCAGCTGAGATAAATGGAGAAGAGCAGCAGTGTCAGACATGGGAGTGCATGAATGAGAAATATTTCCCAGCTTTTCTTTACCAAAAGCTCCAGAAACCATTCTGAAAGATCTACCCTGGGCAGATGTATGCAGCTGAATCTGCTGCTCACCCAGACTCAGCACCCAAGGTGCAGACACTGCCTTTTCCATGCTGATTGCTCATCATGTCAAAGCTAGTGCTGACTGGCCTCCATTAGTAGGTTAAAGTGCTGCATGCCTTTGGGAAATTGGCTTTTGCAAGACTTGCATGTTCCATAGAAGTCTGGCTAAGTAAAGTTTTGTTAATCATTTCATCCATTATCTGAATGCATAACAACTCTGAATCCTTAGTCACTGAAGGATAAAGAAGGATTCAAGCAAGTCTATGTGCAAAGAGAATCAATATTTAACTAGTGCAGCACGTTGAGCCTGACAGAAATTATAAATAGCTAAACTAAAGTCAACAGAACTACACACAGGCGTTATCTGGGTAAAATGGATACTTAGACAAAAATGAAAGCGTCTGTAGTCTAAAATATTTAGAACATCTAAAGTCTCCATCCTTGGAGACACTCAAAAGCCATCTGGATAAGTCTTGGGCGACCTGCTGGAGCAGGTAAGTTGGAGAAGATGGTCTCTTAAGGTCCCCTTCAACCTCAACCATTCTGTCATCCAGCAAACAGTGCAGGGAGTTGGTGCTGTGTAATTTCAACCAGTCCACTGCCTTTGTCTCCTTATCTACATGAGGAAAAGGCAGGGCTGGTGACCTGGTCCACCAGCCACAGATAAAACACTTCAAGACAAGAGGGATTCAGCAAGACTGACATTTACCATTGCTGCAGCAGTTTCCTATTGCATAAGGAACTGAGGAAGAGTGCTGCCCTTGCAGGCTGTTCATTCCAGAAAATTTTGTGTGTGATTTTTAAGCTTCCATTTTGCTTGTGCGTGCAAACGTATATGCAGTGCCTACATGTCCGAGCAGCCTTTTGCTCTTGTTTCTGATGCCTTTTTACAGAAGGCAATCATCCACATAGCCACAGCCACCAGAAATGACCTGCTGAGGTGGCTTCTCAGCCTCTTCCTAGGCAGCACAAGCAGAGCCAGCTTCAAGCTGCTCAGCGTTTGCATCTTGCTCGGAGTGATGGTTTCTCAGGCCACTRCACCTTCTGGCACCTGGGGGTGAGCACGTCAGTGGAGAAACGCCTGGTCTTTTCAGGGGACGGCAGCATATGACGCCAGAGGGGCTGGATCCACCGCAATGTTTTCCTTCTCCCTTCGTGGCTGGACCGAGACGGTTTGTGCTGCAGAGCCTGTCACGCCGCCACGAAGGCCAGCTCTGACCCGTGACATGGAGCTGGCGCCTGTCGCACGCATTGTTTTATGAGCACAGCCTCCCGTGCAGCCCAGTCACCGCTCACGCCGCCCTGGGGCGGGCACTGCCCCGTCCTCAGGCTCACCACTGCCTGGCACGAGCCGCCCCCAAAACCAGCCCTGAGCAAAGCTTCCCAGTCTCACCACATCCTTCCAGCGCTTGGTGTGTTCTTCTCGACGTGTCTCACGGCCTCTTTGCTCAGGAGCAAGGGCTGGGCCTTTGCACCCACTGAAATGCTGCTGCTCTCCCAGGCTCGGTGCTTTCAGGTAGGGATGTCCTACAGCAGTAGGGCATTTGTGACCAGCAAAAGAACTGCGTGGCTCTTTCCAGGAGTTTGCAGTCAGCTGGCTCATCAGGCGATCTTGTTTCCTCAGGCCATTTTCTCTAGTTTCTAGTATGGTCTATTTTTGAGTGAGTTGTCCCCTGCTGTTGCTCTCTCTCCTTCCATTTTATTTTATTTTACTTTACTTTACTTTATTTTAAAATAACTCCTGCTGCAATGTGCTTGTAAAAGGGCAAGGAGCAGTGAGATCTCCATCTAACAATCCCCTAGACTAAAGGTTGACCATTCAGCAACAGCTACATGCTAATAACAGCTGTTAGTGCAGATTAGTCAAAACACTGTAAAAACAAGCAAAACATGTACAAAGCTTCTTTAAATACTGGAGAAAGACTGAAGAACTGTAACCTGACAGAGATGGGCAGAGTCTGCAGGAAAAAATGTGTGTGGGTGGCTCTAGTGTGATAACGGGCATTTTGGAAAGCCTGRGTTGTCTTTGCTGCTGATGATCTATAAGACAGCCCCAGGAAAAGTCTTTTTTTTTTATGTCTCAATTTCTCTCAGTAAAACAAGAGGGAGATCTGCTACTTATTCCCTCTGGAAATGACACTGAGAAGTAAGTTGTAGGCATGAGTTGCTATTGGTGCTGGCTGACATCTACTGGTAACCCGAACACAGCTTTGGTAAGGAAACTCCTTGTGTTGCAGTTATGGGGGCTCTGGAGATTTACATTATCCCGTTAAATGTGCCAAATTAGACTGGCTCCTTGCTGGATTAACGCACCATGTTCTTGGAGCAGTGCAGGGAAGCGACACAGGAGGGAGCTTCCCATGGCCATGGCCATCACGGTTGCTGTTACCTCCCATCTGTAGCAAGAGCCTGGCTTCAGATATCTCTGCAGTGCTTCTTCCTACTGTTTTTCTTGTCCTACCTTGGGCAACTCAGTGCATCTCTGCTTGCCTCACCTGTGCTTGATACCGTGGTGTGAGTTTGCCCTCGAGCCCTGCGGGCACCGTGAGCTCTTTGAGGCAGTCCTTCAGTCACAGCACACACATCAGGGAGCGTAGTGATCGTGGATACTGCTGCTGCTGGCACAAACCACCATAGTGGACATCTCTCTGGACCACCTTTAACTTAAACTTGCCTGGACCACCTTCTGAAGATTATAAGCAGCTCAACCCATAGGTATCTTCTGCCAGACAGAGCAGTCTGGATGGTTAGCTTGTACAAACTGAAACAAAACACAGCCATGCACATACCACAGAGGAAAAATACTTTACTTTTCCCATGAGAGATATCACCTAAATAGTACCACCTTCTAATGGGAAGCCCAACACCACACATTTGGAAGTAGGAGCTACAAGGACTTATCGATCTGTGAATTTATGTATGTATTTCTCAACTAGCCTAAATAAACAGTTAACAATGACACACAAGCAATTGCTTGGGATGTGTATTTGGCTTGCCTTACTCTGAGACACATCATATATATGGCAGCATGTTTGACAGGGAGTAGACAAGACACAGTTGCACAGAGCTGTACAGGTAAAAGAGAAGCCATTAATGCAGGCACAGATGTATACCACGGTCAGGACTTGCTTGAGACCAAAAATGATGCTGACACAACCCGAATCAGAGCACTGTAAAAAGGTAGTGGTCTTTTTACAAGAAAGGATGCAGAAAGAAGAGAGTCTCCCAGCCAAAATAATTTAAGGAAGATCCTTCCTCTGTGCATCTCAGCACACGTCCCAGTTCATTAACAGCAAGTTTCCCACCATCAGTCACGATCATGTTTCAGTTCTGACATTTGCAAGCAACTGTGTGTCTATTTTTAGTGCCTATATCCAGACTCCCGCTAGGCCCTCATCACTCAAAGACCCTCTCCTTTGGTTCGTCAGGGTTATTGGGTAGCTACGGAGAGCTCTGGAGCCTGGGCCAGGCTGCTGTGCTCCATGTCTGCTCCTGAGGTTCCTCAGACCTTCCCAAAGGAAGAACACAGCAACAGAGGCATCTTTGAGAGGTGGCAACTTGAGATGCCACTGCACACCACCACACTGGCCTTATCACCAGACCACATAGAAGCATTAATGTAAGTTGTTAGTGATCTGGTACAAATCACAATGCCAATAGCTTTGGGCCTRTCTGAGGTTAATCGTTGTTGAATAACAACGGACAGGTTATTTCAAATACTTTTAGTATGGTCCTGTCCTGAAATTCATCATGAACAACATGTTTCACCCTAGAGCTCTTTGCCTTTCATCGGTGAATGGAAGTGAGCCCTATAAACTTTGCAATAGCCCCAGGATGAAGATTATTGTAAAAACTGGAGATTAGTGCAACTAACATGTGAAGTCTTTTCCCCACTCATTTCACTGAATCATCTTGTGCCAACATTTCACAAAGATATTAACCACTAGCATGCTTGTTATGGGAGCAGTAACCCAAGTCACACAAAACATAACTGCTGAGCTGCAGAATAGACTGAAAGACCTGATTCTCCAGAGGTATAAATCAGAATATACCCACTTAGTGCAGTGCTGAGTTACACTAACTTCAATAGTCTCCGTCACTTACATGGGAGAGAAAAAGCCTCAGTAAAATGATGAATGCCTAGAGGAAAAAGAAAAGCATTTTACACCTGTTGGAGAAACTGATGTTCGTCTTATTTTCACAACATACCTGAACTAAAATAGTGTTGACATCCACAACTGAGAGTAAAAAGAAAAAAAAAAGGGGGGGTAAAACTTCGGAGAAATGATGCCAGTTTTGAGAAATACCTTGACCTGAAGTTTAGGACTTTAACTCTGCAAGTTGTGACTCTAATGTAGAGAGAGGGTTGCCAAAGCATTCTGAAAGTAAACTATTATAGGAGAACAAAACCAAAAAACYGTTAACAATCAGGTAGACACAACTAACTAATTTCTTATTTCCATCTCACACTGATGATTACATGAGTCTTGTTTCCATAACTTTGTCCTACAAAAATAACAATAATACTTATGAGAATGAGCATGTAGGTGTTGGGAGAAAATTGCAATGTGCAGTTCTAGATCCAAGTGTTCTTAGGGCTCTGGCATCYTCAGTTTTCAGGACAGTATAAAGAAACGGAGTTTGGACCAGCCTGTTAAGAAATAGAATTCACAGTATTTCTTAGTTCTTTCCAAACAATTTGGAAAATGTTTCCAAAATTCTCTTAGTTTGGAAAGTACTGAGGCCAGAAGTTCTAGGCTTGTGGTGTCATCACTTACTTTGGAAAAAAAAGCATCCCTGTTTCTTTACATCATCAGCACCTGGCAACACTGGTGTCTGCGCTCAGCTGACTATTCTAATTGCAGGGAAACTACTGACATTGACTTAGTACCTTGAGAGTCAGAATGGATGTTCTGGTCTGTTTGCTAGAAGTGCACATCAGAACACCTGAGACCCTGGTAAATTTGACCTGGGTAAGTTGAGGCAGATCCCATTTTGTGTAGAGCTGCCACTTGAGCTGTGTCTTGGTACACACTCTGTTCCCCAGCCTTCTGGTTCTCCTTTTCCTAGCTCATCTAGGCTGTGGTGGGCCAGTTCTCCCTGATGGGATTCTTCCTCCTGTTAACCAAGAGAAATAGGGATTGTGTTGTTAGGAAAACATCAAGAAGTCTAGCAATGTTTCAAAGAGCAAGACAAGGCTGTGCACAATCCTTAAATATCTTCCCACATTCTTCCTGAAATGAGTACAAGTCTATCAAAGATCAAACATACTGCTTGCTGCAATGCTTTGGTGAATGCACATTTAGACACTGGACAGATGAGAAAAGTCAGCCCTTTTCACCTCCACAAGAACACGCCCAGAAATGCTGTGACAAAGCAAATCTGCAAGCAAATATTCAAAGCAGCTTGCAGGCCTGTTCACATCAGAAGCAGAACCTCCCAAACACATTCTTTCAGATAGGAAGTGGTCGTAAGAATGCTCTGCCCAAAAGATAAGCTTCCTTCTGGCTCAACACATGCTGTTATGCTATTATTGTTACGAGAGCCATCAAAACACAAGAGAATGATCATGTGGGATCCATACTTGTTGCCTTTGGCTTTAAAGTTGAATGCCTAAATGTGGCCCATGGAATATAGGCAGCCTTCAGCTGGGATATAGGCATACACCAACTATTTTCCACTCTGTGTGYCCATAGTCCACACATTCGTCAGTCCACAGAATTATCATTATCTGCCCTTGATGCTTTCTGGTGGTTGGGTATAAGCAAGTACAATACAAGTGAATTGCATCCATTTGCCACAGGAATGAGCTTCAAAGGAGCTTTGACACCTTCAAAGGTGTCAAAGGAGCTGAAAGGTGTTTTAAATGGTACTGTGGTTAACTGAGGGATGTAAAGCAAGAGGTTTAACGCAATTGTCCTCAAACAGATGTTTGATCATACAAAATGCTGATCATGCCCAGATTTTATTTGAACAGAGATTTGAAAAGCATAGCTGATACCAGATCCATTCAGATCTGGAGCTAGTCCAGATCCCAGGTAGAGGGCTACCAACCTTACTAGCGTTATCCAAAGGTTTGCCTATCATGTCCTTCCACTTTAGCTTGTTTTTCTCCAGCACCTTCAGTTTGCTCACCACCTCATCGATCTTGGAGCCAATGCTGTTGATGGACTGCTCCAGTTGCAGCACACGTTGCAGGAGTCTGGGAAAGAGAGTGGGAACCCTCTCAGGCTTTCTCTTATGATTGTGACACCAGGATTTGCAGCAGATATCTCACACACAGCAAGTCAGATAGCACAACAGAAGCACATGTTCCCTGTCGGACAAACCAAGTCATATCCACTTGTGCACAGAATGCTTCCCTGGGCTTTCAGCTGCAATTGTGACTTTGCTGAGATAGATCCCAAACATTTTGGATAACGGTCCACCTACAATCTAATTCAATTATATTTATTAGTGCAGCTGTCTCTCCTTAAATAGGGCCTTATGGGGATTGTTTTGTGTTTCTCTGCAGTAGAATTGGGGGACCCTGATTCCCTATGCTCTATTTATCCATGTTACTCCTGCGGAAGAAACAGGTTTGTATTATTCTCAGATCTGGAAAGTGAAGGCCATATAGGCTCTATACCAAGAAAATTTATTCCCTCAGGAGCTTCTTTAAAGATACCAACTTCCCCTGCATCTAGGTGAGTCTGGGCACGGGTGCGGGTGGTCAAGATGACCTTCAGAGGTCCTTTCCAACCTCAACCACTCTGTGATTCTGTGAAATGTTGCCCAGGCCATCTTCTGACCTGAAACATGGCAACATATTACCCATCCACAGCCGGCTGACACCTGCAGAGATCATTTAAGAGGGACAGAAGAAAATTCCTCAGTTCAGTACAGAAACAAGCAGAATACATTTCAGAAACTGTCACAGTTTTTCCCTGATGGGTTAATCGATGTGCATGCATGTAGAAAGGGACTAGCTCCCACTGCAGTGCTCAGCACCAGCGTAAACAGTTACGTTAGAGAAGGAAGCAACAGAGATTCACACCCKTCATTTGCAGAGAGATTAACTAATACCAGCACCAACATACACTTGCAGCTCTTCTTTGGAGACCCAGTTGGCCTTATTGGCGTGGTTAGTCTTTGCTTCCAGGAAGCCCAGATTCTCACGCAAGTTGTTGCCACCATAGGATTTCCCCAAGTTTTCAATCTCCATATTCAAAGCAACCTAGAAGATAGAAACTCTTGCAAAGATGGATAGCAACAGTGTGCCTGTTTCACCATGAACAATGCTCAGCTTCAAACTGTCACACTCTCAGCTACTCTCCAAGCTGAGACAGAACAGTGCTTCCTGCTTAGTTTTCACCTCCAACTCAAAGACTCTTAAAGGCCACTGTAGAGTGGCCTGTACAAAACAGGCAGTTTTCTCCTTTATCCTCCCTTTACCCTTTTTTCCTCTAAGTCATGTTTCATCTGCTGCTGCTCCTCTTCATCAAGGATCTGGTTGCCATCTTTGTCAAAATTGGAGAAGGCTGCTGTGATCTCTTTGTCTGTATGGCCTAGCCTATAAAAGAAGAGAAAGCCCAAGGCACCGAATTACATAAGTAAGTGTTAATGTCAACGCTCTTTGCTTTTGAAAGTGACACAGTGTTGACATCTACTGGTGACAAGTAGAACCATTCCAAATGGGAAGATGACAACCAAACAACTCCATTTAAAACAGGAGACTAAACATGTCAGGAMGGAAGGTCTTTAGCATCTCTATGTCTTATGTCATCCAGAAATGAGCTAACTGCTGTYCAGACCTTGAAAGCCATAGAGTTTAAATTACTCGTATGAGAAGGGTAAGAAAGCATTCCTCAAGCTGACTCACTTCTTCAAGTTGTTCTTGAAGTCCTCAAAGTCCAGTTCTTTTGTTCCATTCTGTAGTGCTTTCTGTACATCAGAAATCCTCTCCTTCTTCAGCTTCAGCCTCATCAGTGTCCGGTTGTAGCTCTTAAAGGTGTGAATAAACATTGAATTATCGAGACAGAACAGGGAAAAATAAGGCAGAGCTAGCAGTACAATACAGTAACTGAGGAAATACTGATGCTCTGTAATTYGGGGGGATTTCAAGCTTTCCAGAAGCAAAATGCAACACTGAATTTTGGGTCCCATATCTAAATCAGAACCGCTTCTTAAATGGGTATCAACATGGCACCCTGTGTCCATAAAAAAAAAAAAAAAGTTACCCTCTGATTTCCTTCTCCTTTCTCTTTATCTGAGCTGGCAGAGCTGTCTAATTTAATGTCTCAAATATTGTTAGTTCCCTGAATATTAATGTGTAACAGAGACAGCTGCCAACATCCGCAGGACCTTTCCAGGAGTTTTACTTAAGAGAAATCTGGATGTTGCTCACCATATTTTCACCATCATAAAATGCTCAGCTCTGCAAAGTAGAGCCTGCCACTTCATTTGCTACAGATTAGAATGCACCATGTCACAGTCCCTGAAGGAGTTTTATCTAATGATTGCCATGAGAGGGAAAGTGAGAAATATTTCTGGTTGCACATGCTCAAGTGAGGAGCTTCCCCAAACCTCTACTATCTGATTTCCTCATGGCCAAAGAGTCTGGGAACTTGATCTACCCCAGAAGGGGACCACTGGCACCTCAGGTGCTACTCCATGAAGGGAGATCTGGATTTGGAAACAATTTTTTTCCTATGACAAATTTCACACGGGTCAGGGATTCCAAGGAAACATTTTGGGATTAAGCCCTAGAGTAGTACCATTTTGCATCTTCATCACCTGCTTCAAGATGTCTGAAAGCTGTAGCTCATCCTTCTGGCTTGAAAGTTCCTCTTTGACTTCTGAGTARGTGTCATTGATGATGGCCAGAAACATATTCTGGAGAAAGGAAAAAGATGGAGTAATATGAAACAYGTTGTCTATCCCAGCAGGAAAATGGCATAGCCATGCGGGGCTCAATTAAGTAGAAGTTGTTCTCACTTGGGGGTTCCTAACGGAAAAATGAAAGGCTGCTTCTAGTTCAAATGCCATCTCTGTTAGCCTATCCTGTACAACATTAGCTGGATTCCTAGTTATTGTATTATATATTACATTTTGGAACTGTGACCATCCCTTTGCACCACCAAYGAAGACAGGGACTATCCCCTGTGCTTTCCTCCCTGCCTATAAGGAAGCAGCTAGTCTGAACATCCTGAATTCTGTTACTGCACTAGTGGGATTCCCAGTCATTCTTAAGCACTACCACAATTAGTATGAATTGACCTTCAGTCTTTCTGAGCCTCAAATCTCCAATTGAAATCATGCACTCTTTTTCTATTTTGTTGTATTTGTGCTGCACAGCTAATGCAATAGGGACTTCTTTCTCTAAGTATCTGTATTGCAGCTGAGGGAGGGATGGCCACAAGAGTCCTGCCAAGCACTGTTATCAATCATAGTATCAATATAGAGACAAGGAAGCCTTTCTTGCTTACCAGGAGCACAAAGAAAACAAAAAACACATAAGTGACGAAATAAATAGGTCCAAGGACCCTGTTGGCATTGTCAATGGAATTGTAGTCAAAGTCACCAAGAATGATCCGAAACTGGGTGAAGCTGGCGGAAAGGAAGAACACAAGATTACACAAAGGCAGAGACATTTTTCCTACCTAAGACAGTCCTAGGGCAAGTCCTGAACCTGCCTGCAGCCTGAATGGCCAGAGATGTAAGGCAGAGCTGGGTCTAAGTCTCTCAGTCTGACTCATTAAGTAATTTTATCCCTAGTGTAAGAGGTAAATGGAGTTGAGCTGGTGAGAGCAAGAGCTGTCTGGAAAGGCTGAAACTTCATTTCAACACAACTTTTTGGTTGTCTAAAGTGAGTTTGTTCCAAAGAGTTCACAGAATAAATTTGGAACTTTCCTTATAATGGCATTTTGACTCAGACCATAGGAGTCTTCCATAGAGACAGAGACCATGAAAGTGTGAGGAGAATGTTAATATAGGCCAGTGCATTTCAACCTTTGTGCARTTCGTAACAACTAAAATGAAGCAAGTCTAATGAAGAGAAGATTCCTTCTTTCAATCACCTTCCGTAGACCCTTTAAAAAGCCCTGGATGACAGAGGTCTGTGGACCATAGGCTAAAAACYAATACTGCGCCTACATGTCTTCCTTAACATCACACGTTGCCTAAGAAAATGTGTGGAATGAAGATTTGTCTCAGATGCACTTGTGCCCTTTTCTGCAGCATTTTTCTCCTCCAACTCCTTTTCTTGTAGGAAGTCACAATCTGAGCTTTCTAAAAAATTATCCTGAAAGACCAAACTTAACTGTCTGTATTTATTAGACAAATTGAATTTGCAACCAGTAATAGAAAAAGCACGTGTCCCATGGGAACTATTTTCTGACCAACCAAATTTAGTGGCCAAGTTGGCGAAAGTTSCTTCCCTGCCACCCCTTTATGCAGGGGCTCATCCACCTATTCTCTCTTCCGACTGTTTATCTAGACCCACAGTGGGTGAGAAGCTTAGAGAATGACCTGAAGAAGCTGAACTGTCAACTCAGCTGTGATGCTGTCCTGCTAAATGACTCCAAAATGCTCCACGTGAGGAGTGTCCTCAGTGACCCTAATTCCACATCAAGTGAAAGCTATCTAGAAGTCATCAAAATGCAGTGGCTTGCTAAATACCTGCCCTGAAAAAGCTGGATTATCYATTGAATCACAGGGCTGTGAGGAGCCTCAAAGTTTGTGTAGGATCAGCTGTTCACATCCTTGAAAATAAACCTTAGACAAACAAACCAAAATATCTGTCTTCTCTCTTGCTTTTCCCCCTCTTCACTGCTTGCTTTTTCCTTTAGGATGTTAGAGCAGCAGGACAGCCAACAACATATTAGCCACTCTGGCTTTATAACATGAGATACTACAGATCCTGAACTGACACTCTGATTTGCAATTGGGGAGAGGTTGGCAAGCAGTTCAAATTCTGTTACTGACAGCTGAAAATGACAAAAATATAATTATGAGTTACACACTTACATGCATTTAACAAAGGTACTGAAGTTTTCCACTTGTGTCCCAAAAAGAAGGTAGCCCAACTGGGCATAGGCAAAGAAGACAATGAAGAACATGATGGCAAAGCCCAGGATGTCTTTAGCACAGCGTGCCAGTGTGGAGGACAGTTGGGTCATTGTTTTATTAAAGCTAATATACTTGAATATCTGCAAGAAAGAAAGGACAGGGACAAAGTTAGGCCAATTCATCATGTGTACATGCTAACTAACATGCTAGCTAACATGTGTACATGCTAACTAAAGCAAGAGGGTCCTTATAATACCGAGGCAGTGAAGATGCAAAGAGGCTGGGGTGAGTGGTGGCCTAGGCTTTGAGATATTTGTCATTTGAGGTGCATCACTACCTTCCTATGGAAGCAAAAGCAAGTTTATTTAATCCTTATGTCTCAGGGAATTGTAAAGAGGGACTGCTGTAAGGACTCATAAATTGAGGATAATGAGAAGCTCTAAGCATCTTCCACCATGTCATGACATTTTCATTGAAATAGAGAGCCCATACAAACAGAGAAGCCATTTTCAGCTGTTGAGTGGCCATCAAGAAACAACATAGTTTGATTGTCCATCCTGTACTATTTTAATAATTTGGAGGAGAAAGTTGAAGACACTGAGTATAATAATAAAAAACCTTTTTACACCACAACTTCTGAGCTCATTTTCTTGTCTTGTATCTCTAAAGAACCAGCCTCAGAGTACAGAATGAAAATCTGTCTAGATTTCTTGTTAACAGAACGTACTGACAGATGGAAGAGGCAAACACCAAACTATTTAGAGGAAGGGGTCTGTGCCTGCAGCCCTTGCACCTCTCAGACCCCTATAATACCTTGATCCAGGCAAAGAATAAGTTGACCGCATTCATATTGTTGTACTGGGTCTGCCAGAAYGCCAGGAACTCAAAGTCTGCGTAGGTGTCGGGGTGTTTCAGCAGCTCTCCCATCAATCTGTTCACCTCAATGGTGCGAAAGATGTGAAACCCAATAGCAACAATGGAGAGCTGCAAAGAGGAAGCATCTGCAGTGACTGCTGTGCATAGGGTGGTTTCCATATGAATTCAAATGTCACAGAACTCCTTGGCATTGCTGCACAACTGTAACCAAATATGGGGATGAAAATAAGGCTTTTATACACTGGATAATGCCCTGACCAAACTCACAGGTCCTCAAGCCCCGCCAAGGAAATAATTTTGCCCTAATAAACAATGAAATAGTATATGTTCACTTTATTGTGCCAGTTCATTTTGCTTTTGGAGCAAGACACAGGTCCACTTTTGTCTTACCTGGCCAGCTTCCCTGTTCGTTCGTTCGTTTTGGCCCTTATACCTTCCTGCCATTGCTCTCCCAAAACAAGTAAGGATTCTCACCAGAATGACAACCACATCCAGGATGTTCCAGATGCTGCTGAAATACCGAAGCTTGTGGATTCGCAGTTCCAGGATCTCCTCTACCACATAGTAGAAGATGAAGACACAGAAGACAATTTCACAGGCAACAATGAAGAAGTCCCATGTGCTGACATATCGAATAAGCTTGACTGTCCGGATTTGCCAGGAGGGAATGGCACCACCAGTGGCTGGAAACTCAACCACTAACCTTGAAACAAACACACACACCCTTGTAATTTGTATAATTGCAAATGGGATGATGGACGCTCTTAAATAAATTTTAGAGACATCAGACTTGAACATGAGCTAGCCACCAAGCTAGGAGTGGAAAAGATGTGCATGTGTTTTTTGCAATCTTATCTCTGATGTTTCCCTGTTCATAAAAGGACAGGAAGAAAAGTCAAGAAGGACTATTGTGTCAGGAAGACTGAGTCTTCTGGCTAATACATGCAAGAGGTAGTGATGCCTCTCAGTGCTACCTGTGATGGACCAGATAATACTTGCATTATAAGAATATGAGGAAGCACTCATAAGCACTGAGGAAGAAGAGAGAGGCAGAAGGGTTTCCAGTGAGACTCAGCCTACCTCAGAACACAGAACAGATTGATATTTGCATTATACACTGAGAAATCAATGAAGATAACTCTTGTTCCCCGATCCAGCCACAACTTCTCTTTCAAGACCCTCAGGGCTTCAGCACTCTCTTCTCTGGTCAACTTGAGGTCTATGTAGTATCCTCCCCCACTATAGCTGGTTAGTCTTCCCCAGTGAGATGAGCCACCCAACTCCTCCTCAGAATGGTACGTCCACCTGCAGGAGACAAGCCATAGGCAAAGGTATCACATTTCACAGGCTTGGATATAACTTAGCAGACAAGAAAAAATGCAGCTATAGCCTCGAGAGACAACAGGATTTAATTCAAGAGTTGGCACCTAACTCTTTATTCTGGATCTGAAGCTACATCAGTTCTTCATTTTTGATAGACTTATAGACTGAAGCTACTGCTTCCTGGCAGTGACACAGCATGGCTTGCTGTGTAATAGAGGGATGATCCTGCAAGTTCATAGGCTACTTCACTGCCTGATTTGGCTGGAGGTTACTTCCAGGATCTGGAATTGCTGAAAGCTGTGTTGCTTTCTACATATTTGCATTTATTTTTCCTTACATGCAACATGTTTTCTCTCACAGACCAAGACACATGCAGTGATCATGGAATTAATAAGCTGCAGCTCTATCCTGTAGCACAGAGAAAAATTCACATCAATCACGTGAATCATCACTAAAAAAAATCCCCCCAAAAGAGCATTGGTTTTACAGGTTGCATTCTATTTCAGTAAAGTTAGGAGAACTGGGTCTTAAGAAAATGATAAGACACTTCTAGTCTTGTAAAACTGTCCGGGAATGTTTTTTCAAGATGAAAGAGGTGCACTTCCTTTTCTCCAGCTCCTAAATTCCAGAAGGGAAACAAATAATGTCATGCATTTGTTGGATCTGATTGCAAAGATTTCTGTCTATACTCATTCTCTTAAAAAGAAAATGAAAACAACATACACAATCTCTACCTAAATTTCCTCCCGATTTCTTGATGCTTCCCCAACATGTCTCACTCTGCCTCTCATTCTGTTCTACTTTTCCTCAGAGAGACATTTGGCCTTATTGATAGACACAAAAGACTCATTGTCTTTGTCTGCAAAGGGAATTCTAGCCTTATGCAAGAAACTTATTCCCCAAATCCTGCAGTTCAGTGAATCTCATTTTAGCTAGAAAAGACCAATTAGGGGCAATTAAATACAAACAAATTTTCTAGGCCTGAATGGTAGAAGCAGATACACTTACGCTGTTCCATTGATAAGTCCAAAAGAGACTCTTTCCTCCTTTTCTTCTGAGTATACATCATAGCAGCCTGAGATCTCCTCCTTGAAGTCATCATGGACCACGCAGGAATTGTTCTTCACCTTCAGCTGCCGCACACGCGGGACACCCAGCAGCAAGTTCTCATAATAGATGTATGACTGGGTGCTATGAGCTGCTAGGGACTCGTTRTTGTACCACTTGGTCCAGTAAAGGTTATTCAGAAGGGGACCTTGTGCGTACTGYCAGAAAGGAAGAGGAGAGCATTTCATTCATAGCATCTCATTCATAGCCCACATCTCAGTAAGCTTTTCTTGGCCTGGGCTTGAGGTAATGAGACCTGACTCTCTCTGCTCCCCAAGCTGTGCAGTGGTAGAGCTCACGTTGGCCATGTGCTAAGGAGGGGAACAACCAAGGCTGGGTGGAGCTGTAGCGGGTGGGAAGAAGGATGCTGAGCAGGATGGTGGCTACTGGCTCCTCATAGGCCTATAAATATGCTTGCTTGTACCTTGTGCTAATGAAGAGATGAAGGGCCTACACACTTCTTTGTCCCTTCCTCTTCAGTGAGCACAAATTTGGAGTAGTAGCCCTGGCACATGCCAGGAATTACAGGATAGAAAAGAGATATATCAGTGCCYTGGAAATAGTGGGGAAAACAACAGTGCCATAGCTCATTGTACTTTTCTAATATTTCAGAAAAAGACAAAGAAAATTCATAGGCAATTTCTGACCTGCTGGCAGAAGTGGCTGCAGTATCTCAAYAGCCTTCACTGTGGCCCATCTTATTCCTTCTCCTGAACTGAACACAGTTCTCTCATTCCCTCCTGATAAAAAGTTAGTGCAAGATTTAATTGGGCTTCTTCATAAAGGTTCTACAGATCAGGTTGGCCCAGGCCTGCATTACAGACAGGTTAAGCATACTGTTCCCACAGATGCCCATGAAATTTGAGCTATGCACGCTGCTAATGACCTCACCATACTATCCAAAGCCATTTCTGCCACATGGAAACATGAAGAAATTCACCTGCCCTCTCTGGGCCTGAGTTTCCTTGTCTGTGTGACGAGCGTCTCATATCTCATCCTCATTTCTTTTTCCTGTTATCCTGTCTGTTTAGCTAATAAGTTTCTGGGGAAATGGAGACTTCCAAACACTSATAATGCTTAGCTTAGCTACTATCCCAGCTATACAATATCCTGCAGGTACGGACAGGTTCAGTGGAGAACTCTAGTCCCAACAAATTTCGCACAGTCTTTACACTGGGCCAGATGTCTACTCACCGCCCAGAAATCAGCCATGCTGCCAATGGACTGGAAGGAAACGCTGCTGTCTGAAGAGGTCTGCAAGAAGAGCTCGGACATCACTTTTGTGTAATAATAGGCATTGGAACTTGTCATTCCATACGTCACTACAAAAGAGGAGAGGAAAGGGCAGAGGAGTCTTCTCCTGCATCTAAATACTAGATACTGATTTCCATTGACTGTCTGCTTTGTTTACAGACACAGTTGTCTGCTCACTTCCTATCACAGGTAAGTTGAAAAAGAAAAGAGCTCGATGCTAAGCAAAACACTTTGGCTTCTCCCAGCAAGACAGGATCTGGAGAGGAGCCTGGGGAGAAGAAGTGTTTGTATAGGGGGATCAAGCCACGTGCCTCAGAGCCCTTGAGGCAACACTGGTGAAAGGAATCTCAGCCTCTTCACTCCTCCCATTAAATCTACCTTTGACTTTTCTGGCCCGTTCTGATATCTTAGCTTGTTTCGCTTCACCAGAGCAGTAGCTCTCCTGCAGGGCTGGTTTTACCTTCAAAGCCTCAAACATCCTGACTCCTCTCTTTCTGCCATGGCAAGGAAGAGGGCAAGGAGTCCTATTCCTTTTCCCTTGACTCCTGACCTTTTGTCCAGATTCAAAGGGGCTTTTCACACTAAAGGTCCTATAGATGGATTTAACCACTTAAGGGAGTTTAGCCTTGTGTTCCTGCACTAAATTTTGAAAGTTCATCATTTAAACCTGCACTTGACCTAGAGGAGGTTTCCATTGAAGAAGAAATATTTATAACTTATCATGTTATCCTATTTACCAAGGAATTTGCAACCAGGATATATTCCACGTATTCAGGATTTGAACTATCAGATYGACAGACTGAGTTTAAAGGAAGAAAAGGCCATTAGATTATGCAAATAAAACTCCTGAGTGACATAAAATAATTTTCCTCAGAAAAAAAAGTTCTCTCAGAAATTCTCTTTTGCAGAACAGAGTCCCTGGTCTGTGTACTAAGTACACTTAGTACTAAGTACACTTAGTACTAATCTGAAGCTATGAAGAGACAGGGATTACACCACTTCCTCATATCAACAGCTCCAGGTTCTTTCAAGGACCTGGACCAAGGAACTTCAGAGAAGAGTGAGGTCCTTTAACTCCCCTGGACATGTTGCTCCAGCTCCGCAGGGTGCTCCGGGCAGGAAAGCATCCATCACCGTGATCCCTGAGAACATGTCCTGCTGCTCAATGGGTACCATAAAGCAGCTGACATTCAGCCACCGCCACCCAGATGAGTCAGCGCACACCTGCGTGTGCCCGTGTGTCTGTGTGCGCATCTTGGCTCTTTTGCAAGAGCAACTGGGATGCTGTTTCCCTGGCTCCATGCGATAGCAGCTCAGATGAGCACAGTCTGCATATCTCTCCTGCCACAGGGGCCATGAAGTGAAAAGCCTTTTCAGTGTCTCATGACACAGGTGTTCTTTTGTGATAAAGAAATGAACCTTCCCAAAATAAACAGCCATTGCTCTACCCACACAAAGACCATCACCAGTCAGTACAGGGCCGCATTAAATCCACACAGGGACAACAATGCGAGATGCCACCTGCATTATGCCCTCAGCCTCCCACCATGTCTGAGGTGGGGAAAACATTTTTGCTCCCTATATTTGGGATCCTAGGAAGTTTCTAGAGTTGCTCTCTGGTGCTTGCCATGAAGCTGCAAACAGTCYCTGGGCAGGTGCTCTCAGTAGCTCTGTGGAGCTGATGAGTAGAACTGGCAGAGTGGTGCAGAAAATACTGCTTAAGCCTAGCCTGTATCAGCTTAGTCTAAAGCTATATTTCAATTATATATCATTATATATAGTTATATGTATAAAGTTATTTCACTTATGAATGCAATAGCTAATTTGTAGATTAACACCATGCCTGTGTGCAAGAGYGTGTGCACATTTAATAAATTTAACGTTTGAAACAGAGGGAAGACGACCAGTTACAAAACCTCACATTCCTCCTCTCACGCTCTGCATAGAAAAGCCACCTGCAAGATGTGATAGCTGCTTACACAGACAATTATCCACCAAGCTACTTACACAGACAGATATCCACCAAGAACATGATGTAGACCAGCAGCTCGCGCAGAGTGGTCTTTACGTAGAGCTCTCGGTTTTCAGCTGTGTTTTCAGTCAGTGTAGTACCCCACAGACCTGTTGGGTGGCGAGAAGAAATAAGTTTGACAACCATTCTCAGAGGCCCCATGAGGAGCTGAAGCCCTGTTTCCAAAGAATTCTTCAACTGTTGGAATTGTGTTGCCGTCGGAACCAAACTTTTCATCTAAAACACACACTTTTTGTTTCAAAACTTCACTAAAAGCTGCAGATCATTCTATTGTAATCTAAGATCTGTCACTGACAAAAGGTGAAATATGTTGTATTTCTTATTTTGCTAAGAAACTTCCCTGGTTTCTACTTCAGTTTCAGTCTTATCTTTTTGGTCAGTTTTTCAGTTTACACTTTGCAGAAAATTTTTCACACCTATTCTTGAAACCACAAAACTACATCTCACTCATCCACAAGCCAACACATGGCCTCCTGATAGGCGTTAAACAGCAAAACTSTATTTGATACTAGCTTTATATCTACACTTCAGTCCTTTCAGTATATACTGAACTATATGTCCTCAAATATTTGTCCCTGGCTTACTCAAAAACACTTGCAGATTTCTTGTAGGTCATAAGACTTGATCAAAATACCTCAACTCAATATTTCAAATAAAAGTTAGAACCAAATTATCCACAGGGTGTGTATCAATGGAAAACCATTGATTTCAATGCAGTCGTGACTCTTTGCAACAGCTAAAGATCTGCTTTCTTTACACRGCAAAATCAAGTCATTAAACATCTCTAGAATTGATCAAAAGGAGAGAAACATTTCCTGTAAAGTAAACCTTGCCATTTTGGTGTTGATGAACCACCTGACACCATTAATTATTTGTTTGTTCTTGCTGTAATGAGTTTCTGCTGCGATTGCCAAGAATCTCCTGAAGTTGAAAAGCACAAGAATTTTCACTTGAAAGCCTACTGATGGAATCCACATCAATAATGCGGATAATCTTGCTCCTTTCTGCAGCTCCCAGACAGACCATCTCCAAGGCCCATCCTGAGGAGCACGCAACCATCATCCCCTGCAAGCCAGGATCAAAGCTGATCGAAGGCCACAATAAATAAGCAGCCTCTGGCAGAGGAAGAGGAAGGGTTTTTTACTTTGGAGCAAGGAAAAGTGGTAGAGTGTTCTGTATGGTATAAAAAGTGTTAGTATATATTGGTGTGTATATATACACATATACACCAAAGTGGTATAGCATTCCAGTCTTTTTGAGAAATATATATATACGTGTGTGTGTGTGTGTGTGTGTGTGTGTGTGTATATATATAAATAAATCAGTCCAGAGAGCATTTTACACCTTTAGCTAACATCCCCACTCACTTCTGAGAAGACAAAGAGTAGCCTGCTCCGACCCTGCTGAGAAAAGCAAGAAAAGCTCGGAGGGCATCTGGGTTAACTGCTGTGCAGGAGAGAGCAGAAGGCACTCCACAAGGTCCTTCACAATAGAGAAACCCAGCAGGGAACACAAGAAAATAGACACGATAGTGTGAGAGTCAAAGGTAAGCACGGGGAAGTAGAAAGGAGAGGCAAGCTACCCAGAGGTGGGGGCACAAGTTGGCACTGTACATTTGAATTTGCTTCTCTTGTGGGTGTTTTAAGCAATGAACAACAAGAAAATGGAAATATGCTCTAGTRCAGCCAAAGGTACGCTGAGATGGGTTGGAACTCTGTTCTCATGAAACTGTCTGTTGAGGTTACTTTTAAATGACTGTCTCTAGACGAGAGCATGTCATGGTCAACATCACAGTCACTGGCAACCCCACCTCCCTACCCCCAACCAAAATCATTTCTCTGAGAAAGACAGTTCCTYGCTCTACTTTTTCTGTTTTTCTAGGAAAAAAAACAGAAAAAACATGCAACCTCGAGCACCCTCCTCAGTCTGTATGCACCTCTTCCTTGTTAGGAATTGTAACAGGAGAGACCCTGGAGCTGCAGCAAGGCACAAGAATAAGGATCCTCCCCCCACTCAGCTGAAGATGACCTCCCAGTAATGCTAGTCTATGGTGAACAGGTTCCCAGGCTATACAGATACACGGGATTTCTTCCTTCTGCATGTCTCCCCTTCCCCAACATTCATTACTGTTCCCCAAAATTATTAAAGTCTTTACCTCGGATGCCTCTGAAGATGTAGAAGCAGTATTTGGGGAAAGGATTTGTCTTCCCATCCACAGCCTTGTTCTGCTTCTCCTGGCAGGGCAGCGGGTCCCCCATCTCTTCAAAGTTCTCATAGGGATTCTCCAAAATGGACTTGGGGTTGTAGATGGCTCGGATTTTCAAGGAAGTTGAGGGAGAGCCATTGTAAACAGGATTATCCCAAGCTTTCTTCCCTACTGCTTCCAGCTCATGCTCTTCGGAAGCTGGAAAGCRGCTCTCAGCTCTGCTGTTTAGGTGAGAAGAGCTCATGGCTATTCTGGGGACTGAAATACTTTTAAAATTGAGATCTCTGGGGCAGCTTGCCCAGGCTGGAGTTTTAAGCTACCAGGGAGCAAAAGAACCTGTCTACCTAAGAGCCCAGGGGAGGGCAGAGCACCTCCTGCCCACAGCCAGCCCGCAGCCCAGCTGCTTTATACCGGCCGAGCCGTGACACTCATCAGGGGCTGGCACTACCCGTTGTTAGGGGCTGCTGTCARTCCTATTCTTCTAGGAACACGGATACATCCAGGAGATGCTCTCTGCTTCCCAACGGAGATACCAGATGCTGAGATGGACAGAGAGGGGAGATGAAAGGAAATTGGATTTAAATGGGCTGTCTTAACTAAATTGGGGCAGCCCAGATTAGCTCCAGGTGCATGACCAGCTGACCTGAACAAGGACTGGGATCCCAGTGCAAAGGCTGTCCTGAGGAGAGCGCTGGATACTCCTGCGGAGCTTTGGGCTGAGCACAGGGCCCCCGTAGAGCTGGACAGGAATGCGTAAGGCAGGGATGGTGGAAGCTTTGTGTTTGGGATGCAAAGAGCAGAAACTCTCTGTAGGAGAGAGCTGCTGTCACCAGAGGGAGCTGGAGCCCAGCGCCACTGCCACAGCTGCCTGTGCTCCACTTCCCTTGCAAGTGTTGGACAAGCTGCCAGTTAGAGCTGGTCCATGGCCTAAAACATGATCCCACTACAAATTTCCCCAGCTTCCTCTTTGCCATCTCATTGCTATAACCAGGAATGGGAAACAGGAGCAAATTTCTAGTGCTCATTAAAGAAACCAGGGGCTGGACTTCTCTGCTTCCATAGGCTTCCCAGAAGCTCTGTCATACCTGCTTTCCCTGGGGCAAACCTGAGAAAAATAAGGCTCACCTTAGACAATACTATAAACAAAAATAACTAGGCGTTGTTGACATGAATCTGTTGGCCACCAGCAAGCAGCAGAGCAGCAATATCAAGCCCTGAGGATGCCGTGAGGCTTGTAGTGCTGCAGGAGAGGGCCAGGTGGTGGCCTAACTCTAGAGTAGCAGCAGGGCATTTCAGATGATACTGCTTTGCTTACAGGAGAGCTGAGGAGGAGGAGCAGGAGGACACTGCTGTAGGAGCATTGCTACTGGAAAACATCTTAGGTGGGTCAGGAAAGCCTGTAGAGAGATGGCAGTGATATTGCTGCAGAAAGCCAAAGGAGTAGCCCTGTTTCACAGAAGTGGTATTGTCCATGTTGTGGAAGAGGCAATGGAAGCAGTGAGCTTCTCCACTGAGACAAGATGGTAAATAAATGTATAGCCTAAGCCTGGTCCCTCTTCAAGTCTGGGCATATAACCTGGAAGAGGAACTTCCCCCTGGGTACTGATRTTAAAAGTATCTCATGACTTAATCCAGAGAAACAACATGACTTTTGCACCTGTAAGACCAGAGGGCTCAAAGGCACAAGTCAGTATTTTGTCTGAACTACCATGTTCATACAGGTAGTGTTAAGGCCAGCTGAGGCGTGCACTGTCCTTCCCTTTGCTCACCCACCTGATAATGACCTTTAGCAGCCACTTGAATAATAGGCAAGATTGTCAAAAGAGAGCAAGAGGGCTGCAGTTGGCAAGTCGCTGGAGACTTGGGCTGGATCCTTGCACAGATTCTAGTATTGTTGGTACATGTTGTATTTTATTACTCTTTAGCCAAATGAGGACAATAGGAATGGAGTGAAGAGRTGGAAACCATGTGCAGAGGTCTCCMATACTTTCAATAATTGGCAAGGCCAATCTGTTCACATCCCATGTGACCCCATAATGAATACCCACCTATGTGAAGAAGTGTGGGTTCTGGTGCTAAGGTGMTACTTGAATGGAACTTGCTGKTTACTTTTCACAGTGGTATTGCCTKTAGCACAGCACTATTGCACATCTTTTTTCAACTCAGCTACATCACAGATGTACTGACTCCATGCTGGCCCATTCAGAGCAGATAGTAAGAGCTAGGACAGGCTTGAGCTTCTGTTATGGAAAGGTGAGTCACCCAGCTGGCCTCCAAGTCAACTCATCTTATCACCTGAATTCGAGCAGCCTATCACRAGGCAGAACAAAGAGCACCCTATACCTAAGAACACACACCCAGCACTTTGCATGCAGGTTGGAGTGACTCACGCATGCAGTTCAGTGAAGGTGTCCTTTTCATTCCGTACATTTTAACTGTACTGTTAATGCACATTTCAGTTTTGGAGGGAAACCTAGGTGGGGCTTGAGCTGTCTGTCTGGTTTGTGAAGTGATACAAGCACATAATTACCAGGAACCAGAAGTGTTTTACAGTCAGTRCATGGAGATATGGCAGAGATACAACCCAGACCTTAGGATAACAAATTGCCCTATTATGTGTTACCCTCAGTAGTGTTTGATGYAAGTGATCAGGAGCAGAAGTATTTGCTGTCTAAGGAACAATACTTACCTGATGGCACCTTTGTTCCTTTCTATCCTTTGGGTCTTTTTCACCAAACTTCAGTTCTKGTGGAAACAAGCAAGCATCATTTCTCCTCTTCATTCATTTTTTTTGTGTTGAGGTCCATTTTTAACAGGCATAGAAGCAATATTTTATTGCTACCCAGGACTTTTTACAAAACCAGAAACCATCACCACAGCAAGATTCAGCATGTTAGGGCAAAACAAGCACCAACCCAGAATTTTTCCTCACAATAAATGCCTTAAAATACATGGGAGTGATTTCTGGACTCATCACTCACTGCATCAAAAGATTCCCCAAGTAGAAAGACTCTTAGCAAGAGTGCTCACTACCAGAGGCCAACAAAATCCTATGGAATCAGGACTACTCCAGGGCCTTGTATTTACAGTAAAACATTTCCCCCACTCTAGACCCTCTGCAGTCACAGCTGCTTTAAAAGACCCTTAAACTGTTTCTGTTTACTTGGTATGGTATGAAACACTTACAGGTCATTTGTTTCTGGGGGCTGAGAAATAAAGGTAGTCTGGCCAATCTGAACTGCCATACCAGCCAAGATCACACCAAAGGTTGACCAAGCTACCTAATTCTGTAGCTCTGGTCTGTTGTAGCGAGGGTTGTTTGAATCCAGGCTTGCTGCTCCCCTTTTCACTGTCTTGTTTGTAAAAGCAAATTTAAATGCACTGAGGTGAGTGTGGATATTTGTCATGAGGCAGAGGTAAGAAACAGGCAATGTCACAGCAACGGTGTTCTGCTGTATAAAAGACCATGGAGAAGAAAGAAGATAACGTGTGTGCCTGCAGAGATGGAGATTCATTTTAGACACTGAGGGAAGTCACCGAGCAAGTGAGAGCAACAAAACAGTGGAAGTTTACCTAGGGATGGGGAGCTTTCACCCAGCCCGTTTCATAACAACACTCTCAAGTGACACAGAATGCACCTTAGGGGTGCCTGAGATGAGGCACATTATTGTGACCCTGTAAACAATAATCTCTTAACATGAGTTAAGACTAACCTTTTTCACTAGCTTGTCATGGACTCAGGTACAAATCCTATTTTAACAATAWAGAATTTTTCTTGCATTGACATAATACTTAGTTTTCATTTTTAACCCAAGAAAAGGCTCCCTCAAAGGCTCTCAGGAAAGTTGACAGCACAAAGGTTGGGCATGCAGGAGCCTCTGAGGGTTTGAGCTTCTGTTTTTAAGCTGTTTCTGTCTATAACTAATACGTGAACATCCCCACTCTGCTTCTTCACAAGGGATGACAATTGTGTTTTACAGCACATGATGTAGAGCGAGGCGGGAGCCAGGGGAGGGCAGCAGCGCCCCGTCCTCCCGCAGCCAGGAGCCCCGGGCTGCCCTGCTTCGGGCTAACCCGCCTCTCCTGAGCCGCAACACAAGCCCATGCCTTGCCCAGTGCCAAAAGCAATCTCTTTTCTCCTTCCAGGCTTGCCCCTTCCTCAATTTTCCCCTCCACTACCATGAGTGGGCTCTTACCTTAGCACACACTTTGCATTCTTTGAGCTGAGCTTTATGGTTCTCACTTGTGGATTCTCCCAGGGRTCGCCGCTTCTCCTAGAGCACGGTGCCTGATGCAGGACATATTTCTTTACCTGGTGCCTTGACGGTGGCAGGATGACTTCACATGCTGACCTCTGATGCTCCTGCTCCCACGGCCAGAGATTTGTTGGATTATTTAGCAACCCTCTGGCACTGCTGACTCATGCTAAGYGGCAGCTCCACAAGGCCTTCTGGTTCGGGCAGCACCCTGGCCACTCGCTGCCTTGTCCCCTTTGTGCAGGCAGGTTCTCCTGTATGTGTGGTGGTCACCTCCTCAGTTGGCTTCTCTTTGCCTGGGTCTGCAAGTTCCAGTGGCCAAGATCTCCAGGGATCCCAGGCCCACCAGAACTCATCCCAGCYTGGTGTTGTCTTCTACAAACTCACTCAGTGCTTTCTCCATCATCCTGGTTAATAAGGACAATATCGGCAGAGCCAGCCCAGCCCTAACAAGATCCATTCTGCCCCTGGCTTTATGGAATTCCCAAGATATCTGCCGACATGGTGGAAATCAGGAGAAGTGAGGGGAAAGGTGGCAGGTCTGCTACAAGAGCTGTGCAGAGCCACCATCTGTGCTGCAGCACTAGTGCTGCTGTTTGTCATGAAGGAATTAGTGTTTGTTCCACCTAGCAAAGCTTGCACTGGCACRTTACTGCTCCGTAGCCATCAGCAGTGCTCTGTTGCACGAGACATGTCAGCCAGGCTGTACCTCAGCCCTCACCAGCAGCCGTCTGCAGATGGTTGTTGGGATCTTCCCAGTGAAATCCTTGCATGCTGAGCATGACAGGGGGAAAAGACCCAGGAACTCTCCCAGCTTGCAGGACCTTCTGGCAGGGCAGGCTGCAATGCTGAAACACACAGCCCCACCATGGTCCAATTGTGCCTGTTGGCATAGGCTCTTTCAACCCATTTGCAAGCACATCCTGTGAAAGCACAAAGTCTTCTGACCATGCAGATAGATGAGCATAGGGCTGGGGGATAAAGCTGGATTAGCTTTTCAAACTGATGCACTCAGCATCTGTTAGA